CTAGAAAATGTATCATTTTTTAGCAGTGGGGCAACACAGGAACTACAAGTATAGACAAAGCTCAGTTGTTTTTACCACTGTCATAAAAGCCTGCTACTGTTGCCAACTCTCCAGGATTGTCCTGGAGTCTCAGAAATTAAATATTATGTCATGTGATGAAACCTCCAGGAATATGTTCTACCAAAAATTGGCAACTCTAAAGCCTGCAGATAATCTACACTAAGAAATTTTGTGTGTTTAAGTCCATAAAATGAGAGAGGACCCCAGGCTTGCTCCCCACCATCCAGATCATACTGCATGATCAAATATGATAAATTTTATGTTTAAACTAAAGTTAGTTAATTCAGAATGGATACAGCATCCAACAATTTGAAATAAGGCAAACAATATGAGAATTAATTGCAGTGGGAGTTAGGCACCTACATGCCTTAAAAATCTGGCCCTAGGTTTCAAAATAGAGAATATTAGTAACACCTGTATTTTTCAGGGAAGAATTACCCAGCATAATAGATGCAACAATTCCCCCAAAGAGTTTTAGCAATAGTCTCAGTTCAGTACATGGGGACATTAATTACACAACTGCCTCTAGCATTAATGTGAATTGAGCAGCTGCAGACACAACAACAAGATTATATTAATTGTTTACACACATTTCCGTTTGCTTAGGAAAGTTATGCAACAGGTCAACTTCCTCTGTTCTTTGTGCTGAAACATGGTAACAGAAGGGAAAGGGATGGAAATGGGGAACAGAAGTTTCACAATCTTGACTTGCAAAAAGAAAAGGAGTACTTGTGGCACCTTAGAGACTAACCAATTTATTTGAGCATGAGCTTTCGTGAGCCACAGCTCACTTCATCAGATGTGTACCGTGGAAACTGCAGCAGACTTTATATACATATATATACTTTATATAGACTTTATATACTTTATATATATGTGTGTATATAAAGTCTGCTGCAGTTTCCACGGTACACATCTGATGAAGTGAGCTGTGGCTCACGAAAGCTCATGCTCAAATAAATTGGTTAGTCTCTAAGGTGCCACAAGTACTCCTTTTCTTTTTGCGAATACAGACTAACACGGCTGTTCCTCTGAATCTTGACTTGGGCATGCATAACACTCGTTGGAAGATGCATGAACTGTAAACCTCTCCCTTCCATTTCCATGATTTAATACTGCATTTACAGGCAACTCTGCATATTTTTAAAAGATATCTTTATGTATCTGAAGGGCAGGCTATACTAGATAGGTCCACACTGGACTCACTACGGATCTTGGCAATCTGTAAAGTCAGTAAAATCAGCACTTTGATTTAAAAAACCCAGATGCAAAAGATACAGTCACAAAATCCATTCCAGGCCAAGTTTTCCCACCACATTAACAGCAAAAGGAAATAGCTTTCAAACATATTAACATATTATATTGTACATCGAAAGTTTAAATTCTATAGATTTAGTCCTACATTCCAATTAAAAAACAAATCCACACCCCATCCTAAGCATACAGATTGTTCTGGATCCCATGACAAGTCATTTAGCATGAAAAGTGATGAACACTAAGGAAGCTTTTGCCTTTAAAAAACAAAAACATCTTCCTTCCTCTTGAACACAGAATATATACTATACCAAAAGCAGTGCTTATCCAAAAATAAAATAAAATAAATTATACATATATTTGGAATAGTCAGAAAAATCTTTGCTGGTAGAGTTTTCAAGGTCTGACATGATTTTAATCTGAAATTTTCTTTTCCTCTATCATTTATTTAAAGTCATAGGTTGATTTATTTATGAAGGAAAGTTATTTGCATTGAAATACTGTATTATTGCCCTGTATTTGTCTAACAAATGTATTCCTCCAAACTCAAAGCAAAACAGCTTTTCAATAACTGGTTAAAAATTGCTAAAAGTCATTGCAGAATGGAATAAGCTTTAAGAAAGAATTAACCAATTCTAAGGTGTTGTAGTAATTAAATATTGATTTTTTAAAACTCTTGTAAATTTGGTCAGTTTCTTTTAACTTATGGTTTGAATATAAAGAACCTGTGTAACTGTTTTTTTATTTTATTACAAAACATGTTTTTTATTGCTTTAAATTGACTACAAAAGGTGCTGGGAAAGAGAACATCCCATTCACAGAGTACTTTCCTTGTATAAATTAGTTTAGACTAAATAGTTTTAATTTCATTATGTGTTACTTAAATACAAACCATCACACTTAATTACAAACCATCACATCATATTGCCACTAGGTCCATGCCTCTTGAAGAAATTTTTAGTTTTCAAAGGGTCTATATGATAAATAACTTACACCCATAAGGCTACGTTCACACTCTTTGCAAGCTGTAAAATATAAACTCAAGGGTACTCTTGTATAAACATATTGCACATCTATAAAAGTGTTAATCTTAAATCTACAAGGCCATATGATGAAAGTAACTATTGTAATGCATGTCAATACTTCAGCATTTGGCATCTTTTAAGTCCCTGGTTTCCTTAAAGCAGATTGTTTACTTGTCGTCATCTACTGGAACAACGTGTAGAGGGACAGTTTTAAAAGCCTCTCTCTGATAACTTGTATCTAGTGATAAAAAAAAAAATCAGCAAAGATAGATTTTCATTTCCCCATCAAGTTATTAGATTGGGTTTGCATCAAGATTTAAATGTCCTGGACAAGTCTTCCACCTGTCCTAAACTTAACTGGTTGAGACTGTTTGCATTACAAGGGCAGAAATACTTCAAATGTGGCCACAAGCAAACATCCAAACAATCACTAATATAACAACTTCAGCAATGTTAAGAATGGAGCACTGAGTACAGCTCAATATGAAGCAGCCTGAATCTTATTAAGAGATTGTTCTACACTTCCCATCAAACATACAATTGACATCAGCACAGCATCTAAAAAAAACAAACAAAAAAAACCCACACCCAGAGAATCAACTAGGTAAAGTCTGTAACTGACATAGCAAATGAACAGCACTAACCTACATTTAAAAAAAAAAAAAAAAGGTACAAATGTCTATGCAAATGAAAATAAACTACAGAGCACAAATACTACACAAGACTTTTTCCTAAGCCTCGCTCTAGTATAATATTAAACAGTATCATATACCCTATAATATATTCCTCTTGCTTTTCCTCTCTCTGCAGCACCAATACATTGGGCCAGTTCAATAAAAGGGGGGGGGGGGAAGAGAACCCATACTCAGCAGTTAACTAGAACAACAAATCAACAGTCACATCTTAGATTTTTCCCCATTCATTCGGATATTAAAAAAACCTCAACCTGGAATTGCATCTGTGCAGGCATGTTGCAACCAGTGACACAGATTTGTGTCACTCAGCGCTATATGTGAGTTTTTGTTATCAATCTGGTTATGTTACCAGTGAAGTACACAGCAAATTTGTCTTATTAGAATGGGCTTAGTTGATTGTAGTAAACAAAGCTGCAGACTCAATGCTCTCAAACTTTCATTCATTCATTTCTTGTTCTTTACTTAAGCTTACAGCATGTGCCACAGAAAGAGCTGAATGTTAAATATGCCTGGAGTGTCACAATACGTAATACAATAAAACAGATTACAACCATACCTTTCTTTCACAGCAGTATTGCCAAGCACAGGTACACTGTAGCAATCAATTTGTTCTGCAGACAGTAAGGCTTTCATAGAATGCTAATGTAAAAATCTCTTTTCTTTCTCCTTCGACTTGACTCCCCAGTGCCTGGGTCCCGACCAATACAAGGAAGAGGGCGGAATGTCTTCTGCTGAGATAACCACAACTACTAATCAAGTATACGTGTACAAGGGCACAGGATTAAACCTCCACCAGGCTTGACTCAGGCACTGAGAGGCGCTAAACACATGCATAGCAAGGTCAGAATTAAACATGCACACGGACGCGTCTACTTGAGTGAACTATTCATCACACTTTACCACTGACGGCTTTTTACTTCAGGGGAGTAAAATTACATCCTGGTGAACTGATGAGATTTAGACATAAGAGCATCCAACAACAATTTTGTTTTCCTTGAAATGAGAACTAGTGAACCCTGCTCTCTGTAGTGAAAGGCTGACTGTTTCAGAAACAAAATGTATATGGCAAACTGTTCTGAAGACGATAAAATGGAATTATGCCATTAAGTTTAACACACATTTAATGTACTTTGGGGGAATTTTCTTTCTAAACTATTTATCTTTAATTTTTAGCATAATCAATCTATCTATGTAAGAATAAGAATTTCACTTTTGTCTAACATTGCAAAAGTCAAACAAGCTGTTCATTTACCTTGAAGTTTATTAGCATAGCAAAGTAACATCCAGATGCTCTCAAATATTGTCAGCAGTACTCATAACATATTTTCAAAATCATTTAATAGGTTTTTATTGGCTGGCATAGTTGGATATTGCATTACTCCCTTAAAATGGGCATGGCATTACCTTAGTCACATAGCCCTAAAGCTACTTTAAAAGTTCTCCTTTAAACATTCGTTTATTTTACTTTCCTTCCTTTCTTTTAAACTATTATAATATTTTACCACTACATGATATGAACACATATATAAACAAATATTTTTATTATAAATACGTGGGTGTGCACATCCGCACATTGTAAATTACTGAATCATCACCATACAAAGTCTGGGAAGAGAAATGTTAAAATTTAACAGCAGTTTATTTCCCCTTTAATTTTGCCTAGCTGCATTTGCTTTTTGGTATTTCTTTAGCAGTAAAACCGAGTATGTACGCACATTTATAAAATACATCAAGGCCACCACTATAAAACATTATTAACACGGCTTAACGAATATTGCTTCTCCTGTGGGATCTGTATTAAGAAGAAATAAATGTAAAAATACTCAAACACAACTCTGATGTTACCATTTGGTACTTTACCACCTTTAAAATTAGCAAAATACTTTTGAAACATCAGTGGCTTCAATGAGATATAAAAAAAGAGAAGCATAATCAATACAGATGAGTTTGTCCTTGACATACTGACCGTGTCATCAGGCTATTGTCATGTGATATCATGTCATTTCCCCACCTGGCTCATGACCTTGTCCTTTAAATGACCCAAAGCTTCCCTCAAGTAGCAGGAGGCCCCTCCCCGCAGTCTCAGCAAGGTCGAATGGGTCAGCATGTCCTCATCTATAATCCACCACCATTTGTCAGCAGGGAGGCTGGAGGAGGCAGGCTTGCTACAAGGGGAGAATGCCCAATTAGGCAGCTGTCACACAAAGCATAGGCTGCAAAATTATCCCCTGTCAAAAGAAAGAGCAGCTGCGGGTGCCAATTACAGCAACCTTTCAACCCTTTAGGTACTGGAAACTACACAGAAGTAAATGAAGTACAATTAGTGATAACAAATCGATGAATTAGGACAGTAAATTAGAAGTTACTAGCAGGTGAGCTTAGGTCTCACATAATGTTAAGGGCATACTACACCCCAGGCAAGGGCAAGAATGTACAGATTTTACACAGTGTATCAGTTTTCTTCTATCCGTTTTTCTTGCATGAAGTCTGTTTTCCTCCATCATTTTATTCTTACATGCCTGCTGCCATAGAGCAAGTGCAGAATGCGGTGGGGGAGGGGAGGGAACCCAAGAAGAAAAGAAGTTGCATTTCCTACTCTTACCCTTTCATCTGGGCAAAGGCCGAGTTTCACTTCTCATAGGGAGGTCCCCACCAAGAGCAAGCACAATTTATCTATACTAAGAGTTAATTTCAGCCTGACATTTAATGTTCACAGCATCTGACATTCTACATTGAGGAGGTTTGTCCAGAAAGACCAGAACAACAATCCAAATTATAAATCCTCCATGTGTTATTTCATTTACATTTGAAAGCCCTTAAATCTCTATTTGAAGTGTCAACAACTGTGTTACACTTCAGATTAAGGGGGAAATATTTCTCCTTATTTCAGTTCTCCTTGAGGCAGCAACTGTGTATAAGCACAAAGAATGCTATCAGTCACGTTACTCCATGTTTGTTGGCAAAAAATTTCTTGCCTCATGTATAATATTTTTAAAAAGTTGGTAAACTGCCTAACTAACTTAAGTTCGTGGTTTAAGAGGACAGCAATTTGCAGCTGTGCATGAAAGCCAGGCTCTACAGGACACTAAATACTCATCCTTTCCTTCTCCTCCTCTCAAGTCTATTACAACAGCATTATAGTAAATTTTTGGGCTATTTCCTACCCTACGGTCAAAAGGAAAAAAAGTAGGGGGTAAAGGAAGGGAGGAAGAAAGAAAAAAAGGACAGAAAAAATATTGATGACTAATATAAAGCACCCCAGCACACTGTTAACAGTACTGAATCAGTATTTTGCACACGTATTTTGGACCAAACACAAAATCCAATAAAAAATTCCTATTCCAAGACATGTTATGTATTGTGCAAAAAAATTGAGTTTTAAGTTTAACTGCAGTTAGCTCTTTTTTATATTACAAATGAGCACTCTCTCCCTCCTCTCAAATATATCTTCCACAGGGCTTCTCCTTCATAATATTTTTCAGTGGTAGGGGAACTAGTCCAAATTTCTTAAGTTAACAGTTTTGAACACAAAAAGTCAAAACATTTATATACATACACTGAGAACCAGTTAAAAGAATAATACAGCAGCAGGAATGAATTCACTGATCTTTCAGAAAAAGTTTTATACTCTTGTTCTATAGCCGTGAGTAGCATTTCAGGGTAAAAAGAAAATAAGTTCCCTGACTTTTATAGTTCAGATACAGATCATCATTATATGCACATTATTGTCTTATTTGTAAATAGATGGATAATGTTCATTTAATAGCAATTAGAATATTTCTCATGAAGTTTGACATTTCTTTTTGAGTAACACATGGAAATCGCAGCGCAGTGAAAGAGTTAATGTCTTTAGAATTCAGTTTCCATCATACTTGGGTGACTCTCTCTTTAAATAATTTAAATCCTCTCCATCAACTACAAAGCTGTTTTGAAGCCATTTAGCTTTGTTCTTTACATGTGTTCTAATTAAGAAATGACCTTGTCATCACACACACCAGAAATCCTGGATTATTTCCTACAGCAAAAATCCACGAAGCCAAAAAACAGAAAGGAACACTTCTTCCTTTAGTGAGGAACTGAGGAAGTTGTTGGTTGGCTGGCTGAATGCTGAAGCAGTTTCACCGCATAATTTTGTTGTTGAATGTCACAGGGCGGGTTAGTGTGACCTTGAGCTGCATCAGCAGCACAGCAAGGGTCGAGATGCCTGCAGGCGCCCTTGTACTGGATTTGCAAGACAAAACCTTCAAACTGGCTGAAGGACATCTTAAATCTCTTCAAAGGTTTTCCGTACTAATCTGGGCTGCTCTTAGCAGGATCTGTGCCAGTGTGAGAGGCAAAATTAAAACCAAGGTCTTTGACAGAATATTGTCTCCTCTTAACCCTTCTCATGCAGAAGGCAACGTAGTGTAGGCATTCTAAAGACAGTTTAATAAGCAACAGATGCACACAGTTTAACCAGCTGCATTCCTTCAAAATTATGTAAGCAAGCATGCACTAAGGATGGTACGGTTATTAACAGTGAATATTCAGCAACCCCACTACACAGCATTCCCCTCCCCCCTCCTTAAACCTGAACTATGTTATTTTTCTGCTGCTCTTATATTTATTACAGGACACTGCAGTAACAATCTTATTCTCTCTGGGCCCAATCTTAAGAATTCAATGGGAGCAGAGGGTGCTCAGCACCTCAGAATCTGGCAACCCTATATAGTCATGAAGGGCCTGATTCTCTTACAGTGGGAAAAGAGGCCCCCTTCCACAAGGACGGTGGAGGTGGGTAGTAGGTGAACTGCATGCAACAAAAATGTTTTTCTTCTCAGCCACCTTGTGCATTTGAGTACATACAGGGAAAGGCTGATTAAGACTTAAGGACTTGCAAGGTAGTAAGGAATCACTCAAGTAGGGGATGTCTACATGTGACGAGCCTGGTAGAGCTGGGAAGTGTACTTGGAGTAGACAAGAACAGTCAGCCTGCCTCAGTTTCACCAGGCTATCTGGCTGATGGCTCCCTTCAATTGGTTGACAAATAGGAGTTGTATTCACCAAGTGAATTTGTCAGTGTCATTTAAGAACTATCAACACTCTTACTAAAAAGAAGCATATTATTCAGAGATGTGTTTCTGCACAGAATCCTCTACTTCATTTTTTATCTGAAGAAATAAAAATGTTCTAGGTACCCAAAAAAAATAAATAAATAAAAGGCAGCTTTCTGTATCAGCGGATAGAAAACTACCTGGACTTTGGTGTATGTAAATGGAAAAAAAATGGCTTAGCCACATAACCTACCTCACATTACAATGGCTGATTTGGTCAACAGTAACAATACAACTGTTGTAGGAAATTACAAGTAAAGCTGGGTCAAAAACAGACTCATCGTAGTTGTGAGAAATCACCATGACACTTTAGAAATGCCTTTTAACATTTACAACATATAGGCCAGACAAGTCCTTGGGGAAGGAGAACTGGAAAAGGAGCCCACTAACACCAGCAGAGGGTGCTCCAGTTCTTCACCGGCTGTGCACTTACAGTTTAATTTAATCTGCTATTGTACATTGTCTTTTAAAGTACTTGGCTCTACTATAGACAAGAAAGATATTTAAGTTTACTGAAAAGATAATATTGCTTTGGCAATTCTATCACAACTGTTACAGCACTACCCATCTACTGCTAAAATGGGCTCAATTGGTCACTCCTGTGAATGACAACTCTTCTCACAAAACAGCCTACTTCAACAGTCTGTTTTCAGATAAATATGAAGGAACTGTCAACATTTATCACCACAGAGGGAAGCTACACAGTGTGAAACACCTCATAGATCTCCCAAGTTTCAAATGTACTTATTTTGTTTGGGTGAAGTGCCACTATATTCATTGCTGTCAGAGGAGCCCCTAAGGATCACTGGCAGTTGGGCATGAGCACTTCCCAGACATGTGACTGTGGCCAGATTGGGGAATAAATGGTGGCATAAGATTGCCTTTGCAACCCTTCCCCATTTAGGGCCCTGCAGAAAGCACAGCTTGCCCAGAGCCAAGGATTAGGCCCACTGAATTTCTGCATTAACTCCTTCTGTGTCCTTTGTGCATTAGAAGAACACACAGGCAGCAAACACAGGTGAAAAAGAACTACTGCGTCATCAAGTCTAAATCTATCTCACTGCCATTGCAAGACTGTTTTCTACACTTCATTTTTTAGTAATCTTTCTATTTTAACATTCATTAGGCAGGGACTAGGAGAGAATCCCTTAAGTCTATGTATTATAAGTCCCTCTAGAAGAAAGTACTATGATGCCTTTTATACCATAAGTATGCAGTGAAATGTAGTGCAGCATAAGTGGCCTCCCAAATTTTTCCTTCATGTAATTGAACTACACACGGTGGAGGCAGAAATGTTACTAGTTCCCTGACTATCGCCACCAAGTGTTGTGAAGCTCCTCAAAACAAAAACAAAAATGTGTTGCAATGACCTGGCTGAACAGGGTGCGTTAAAGACGCAATGAAAGCTTTTAAGTCAGGCAACAGATGCTGCCAAGTTTGAGAGAGAATGTAGTCATGCCAAACCCAGGAGCCAGAAAACAAAATGCAAGTTAATAGCTTCATTCTGGAGTTTTAGCACTCCAGTGAGAACGTCCAAAATCGGAATGTCTTTAGAACATCAAACAAGAGGTGGAATGCCTACATACACATACAGCACCTACATGCACATACCAAGAGGTATGGTGTGGCACTCTACACCCATATGCATGGAATTCAACCATACAGATACATTTATCCATCACAACTGTACCAAGTCAGGCAATCGGTCACTGGGCCTAAAATCTGTCATGCTTTGTCTCTGCAGAGGAACACCTTGTTCCAGAAAGTATGATTCTGTTGATCCACTTGGTTCTTCCCCCCACCTCGATCTGCTTTGTGATATTAGGCAAGACTATCATTGTGTATCCATGCATCATCCTTAATTCTGGCATTTTCTAATGGCTGAGTTCTTGATTTTGCAGCCATTTAACATTCTTTAAACATTGATGATTGTGTGTGCTGTCTATAATACACACATGAACACCCTCCCCTTTCTCCCCCCACCCCAGTTAATCAACCAAAAAGGAGATCGGGATTGTGGAACTCTCATCACAATTTATCCTCCTCTCAATTGGAACTCTACCAACTACAGA